TTTTTTTTTTTTTTTTTTTTTTTTTTTTTTTTTTTTTTTTTTTTTTTTGTGCATGCCCAGAGGACAGAGAAGTTACTGGAAACAATTGACCAGTTGTACCTGGAATATGCCAAACGAGCTGCCCCTTTCAATAACTGGATGGAGGGGGCCATGGAGGACCTGCAGGACACATTCATTGTTCACACCATTGAGGAGATCCAGGTACAGAACAGTCATTTGCACCAGTTACGCTGGGATAGAGAGAAGCTGGAGAAGTTGGGGGTCTCCTGGATTCAGAGCAGTGATGAATTTGTAGGTGCTGCTTTGGTGCTTCTGCTCTATTGAGTTAGCCTTACCCAGAGAAACAAAAATTATTCAGTTTTTCCTTAATTTTGTCCAAAAACCTGGATCTGAATAGATATGAAAGAGACACCATTCTAGCTGGACACAACAAACTGAAAGCAGATTTTTCAGTGTAATTCCAGAGTCATATTAATGGAAACCTGAAAATGGAATCTTTTTCGGTCTTGTGGAATTTTTCTTAACCCACATGAGCAAAACTTTGTGCTGCTCTCGGGGTCTGCAGGTCAATTCTCCCATGTAATGTCACACCTGGGTCATTAGGTACAACGTGATAGGATGTGCCATGAGGACAGTTGTTGAGCTACCAGCTGTTTTTTGGTACTGAGCACAAGAAAAATCAGAATTGACCACTTTGGTCCTGAATTACCATTTGAAAATAAAGTTGTCTTGCCTCCTGTAAGACAAAGACGGTATCTTAGTTTTTCCCCTTCTGAAAGGGTGTTAGGAAAGCAAGTTAAGGTATCTACAGGTAATTTTCAAACCTTAGAGAGCAGAAATTACTCTTTCCTGGACTTCAGTGGGGACTTGTCTTTCTCCTGCTTGATTGGCTCATGCAAAAATCCAAGTCAGCTCTTTGCCAGAATGGTGGACAGCAGTGTGACCATCAGTGAGGCAGCAAATGGGAGACCAACAAGGAACACTATGCAGCCAAGGGGCAGAGAAGTGACATAGTTACTGAGCTGCTAGTTGTTTCTTCCATCCTTCTCTCGGGAACAAAGGTCATTAAGTCTTTCATAATGCAGAACAAACCTAAACAGCATTTAAACACTTCTGTCATCTCTTTGTGACCGTTTGCAATATCTTTCCCAGCCCCCTACGCTTATATTACATCTCCATAGCCTCTGCAGCAGCTGCAAAGTAATGAGTCACCAAGTAAGGAAGGAATTTTACAAAAAGTAGTTGCAGTGAGTGTGTTGTGAGAGAGAGTGGTAATCATGTGGTTTACTTTCATTCCCTCTTCTGTCCACACTGTTCCCTCAGTTATCCCTGCACACACCTGTTTCCCATTCATTTTGCTGCCTCCTTCCCTGCATTTGGTTCCCTAGACTTGATCTTCTAGGTTGCTAGGATGAAGGCCTGTAGAAGCAGTGGAAGATGAGCCAGGACCAACTGGCTCATCAACTGTCCACAAACTACCAGCAAGCATGCCCGAACCATCGGTCCTTGGAGTACACCCTGGGCACCACAGCAAGTCGGGGAGCAGAAAGGCCCTGCTGTGTTCAGGGAGAAGGAGCTGTTTTCCAACAGCAGGAGCATGTGTTGGCTGTGCAAGTTTGCTGTTGACTGGAAGACCTTCGCCTGGTTCTAACTGACTCTGATCAGACTGAGTCTGACTCCTACTACTCATCTGGAGTTACCTTGGGTGTAGAATAAGTGCATATTTAGTGGGAGAACGAAAACGTGGCTCATTTAAACTGTTGAGATATGACTGTTTTATAGCAATGGTAGTAGTCAGATCTTCCCAAGAGGGCTGACAGGCAGTTACTGAGCAGTGTTGGAAAAATAGTTCCCTCTAACTTATGAGACAGAATTATTCCCCAGTTTTTTGGTATATGATCTCTGTCACGGGTCATCGTGGGACAGAAACAGGGGGAAAACAAGACTTCATGATATCATTTAACTACTTAAAACAGCCCATTTAGTGATGCTGAGAGAACCTGAAAAGTGTATTAGAGTAGGCTGCTTTGTATCCTGGGAATATGTAAGCTTTTGCAATCACTTCTGCAGGGACCCGTTTGCTGAAGAGGTTATTCCATAAGTAATGCTCTTACCCTCCCTTTGCTGCTGCCTTCCTTCTGCAGGGCTTGACCACAGCTCATGAGCAGTTCAAAGCCACGTTGCCAGATGCCGACAAGGAGCGACAGGCCATTCTGGGAATCCACAATGAAGTCTCAAAGATTGTCCAGACATACCATGTCAACATGGCAGGAACGAATCCTTACACTACCATCACCCCACATGAAATCAACGGCAAATGGGAACATGTGAGTTCTTTTCAACCGTGCAAGTTAGTGGGAGAGAATGTCACTGCTCAACCACTGGGGCTCCAGGAAACTGGATTATTTACTCTGCAGTTACCCTTTCGTGATTACTGCTGACTTTAGTGGGGTTTTGTCATTTGTTTTTGGCTCAATTGCCATGTGCCTGGAAAGTGGAAGAGATCTTTGATACAAGTGCCTGAGATGTTTCAACCCCTTTTACATGCTATTTTTAAATGAAAAATGCTAAATTTAAAAGCTTTGAGGTTTTCAGTCTTCAGTTGACCTGCAAGTAAGTATAATAGTATCCTTTGTCACCATTCAACTCCTCAGATGTTTTCTTTCCACAGCCAGGTAGCCTTTCTTTGTTGTAATCCTATAAGAGCAGGTACTGTCCATGGTAGTTGTGGTGATGATTCTTACTACCAAACAAAATTACCAAAGTGAGATCTGAACCAAGTCATGCAACTCAGTTAATACAAGCCACCAAAAACACAACTACTGAATGGAAGCCTCTTCTGGTCTTCCGTGTCTGTAGATGAGTTTGCAGTGTGCATCCTACAGCGGGTAGCATTCACATTCCATGCCCACCGTGACTTAAACCATACGACTGTTTGTTTTCAGTGCAAGCACCCACTCCTCCCTCCTGTGTGGCAACCTCTACATTTACTGTACATATGCCTTTGTGTGTCTGAACTGCACACTTTTTTTATGCTTTGCTGTAGGTGCGGCAACTGGTTCCCAGAAGGGATCAGGCCCTGATGGAAGAACATGCTCGCCAACAGCAAAATGAACGACTTCGTAAACAGTTTGGTGCACAGGCCAATGTCATTGGACCCTGGATCCAGACCAAGATGGAGGTAGTGCTTTGCAAATTTTGAAACAGTCTGTTTTCCTTTGTGATCTTCACTGATATTCTTATCCTTGGTCTTTCTTGACCACCGTCACAGCCATTCTTTCTTCCAAGTTGCAGTAAGAGAAACATCATAGAAAATACAAAGAATCCCAAGATTGATATCGATTACTGAAGTGCTTGTGCTTTTCTCCCCCTAACTCTAGTACCAGACAAAAAGCATGACTTAAGATGGGGAACACTGGTATTTTAAGATTTGTGTTTATATGCAAACTCTAGATCAGAGACATAGTTTATGTAATTGCTTTCACAGTAATGGTCTTGATCCACATGATGAAATAAATACAATTAGCATAGCAAATATCTGCAGAGGAGACATTTTTAAGGGAGATCTCTTTTCAGGTAAGATTTGAGTTGAAGCAATTGGAGTTGATGAAATGTGAGATATGAAGCTATTACTGGTGGCAGAAGCTAGAAAGAAGAGAGCAATTACAGAAACATGTCTGTATGAAGGGACTAAGTAGCAGACAGTACAGCAGAAGAAGATCTAGCTTGGTACATTACTAGCTTATGGACTGCAGTTTCCTTTTCTTATGTATCCTTGTGTTAGACACATCTTATGTGATTCACCTCACTTGGAAAATGTTTAGGGCTCTGCTAAATTTTTTGCTGACACTGTCTCATCTTATGTGAAGTAACTCCTCCATGAGATTATTTTTTTTTGAATCATCATCCTGTGTGAGAGTGAAATTGCTGCAATAAATGTCAAGCATGTTGAGGCTTGTCCTTTCAGTGGAGTCTTAACTCCTTTGACTTTGCCAATGCAGGAGATTGGCCGCATTTCAATAGAGATGCACGGGACCCTGGAGGACCAGCTCAACCACTTGCGGCAATATGAGAAAAGCATCGTGAATTACAAACCAAAGATTGACCAGTTGGAAGGAGACCACCAGCTGATCCAGGAAGCGCTTATCTTTGACAACAAGCACACCAACTACACCATGGAGGTAAATGTTTTGGCATCAGATTAGACACCCTCATCTGCTGTGGCCAGGTAGCGTCAGCAACATCTAGCTCGGGCAAACTGTTGTGGTTCTTAGGAAAATGGAGAGCTTTACAATGTGGCCAAGCATGCAACAACATGTCACTGAATTTCATTTTTGCCTTGCTGTACTTCATGCCAACCCATTCCAATGCACTTCCAAATATAGACCACAGAAACAATCTGAATGAGATCAATAGTATTGCTTTAAAAATTGTCAGGTCTCATTTTTCCTGCCACCCTATTGTGGCAGCCTATTAGCTAGGATCAGAAAGGGAAGTGCTGATGATTTTGAGCTGCCACAGCCTGGCAGAAGAAAAAAGTCCAACAGAAGTTTTTTTAAATCTGAGACTGGATTTTTGTTGACAACGTTAGGTTTCTTGGGAGCACTCTGAGTTCAACATGAGTCCAGCAGAACACAGACAGCTTTTGAAACTTGTCTTTTGGTTTCTGGCCAACTCTCCATTAAGCAACAGGCGAGGCAGTAGAGCACAAGTGTCTTCCAAGCATTGTGTTTTATTTATTTTCTTGGTAAGGAGGGTTGTTCGCTTAACTAAGTCCTAGAAGCACCGGCTTTGCTTCTCATTTGTGTTAAAGGCCCCTCATTTGTGTTATGTTGGGAGCCTTTCTGACCAGGTAAAAGAACTTTGCAGTTCTTTTACACTTTTGCAGGTCTTTCTTAAGATCGGGAATTGGCCTCCTCAGTACTTTTTTTAGGTCAAAATTCAGATTTTAAACATCTGGCTGGCTCACACTGCAGATGACAAGGAGGCTTTTGTGAGAAAATGGACTTCTGCCTTGGACACCAGGGTCATTTAATTTGCAATAAGTAGCACATTTGATCCACTGGTCTCAGAGGCTGAAGAGCAACTTCTTAATTTTAAAATTGTCCTGACTTCTTTTTCCAGCATATCCGAGTGGGCTGGGAACAGTTACTAACAACAATTGCTAGAACCATCAACGAAGTGGAAAACCAGATTCTGACCCGTGATGCCAAAGGAATCAGCCAGGAACAGATGAATGAGTTCCGGGCTTCTTTCAACCATTTTGACAGGGTAAGTCAGGGCTGACTGCAGCTTGGTAAGCTACAAGCTTCCATGTAGACTACACAGTGCAATAAAAACAAGCAGTCACTGTGACAAAATAAGATCAATAGAAGACATGTTATTCTTAAAATGCTGTCAAGCAGTCCTTTCTGTGAAGACTGCCAAGTGATCATTAGTCTGGGAGAACTGTATCTTCACAGGAAACTGCTAAGTTTCCTGATAAAGCTAAAGTATGGAAAGGTTTGAAGGGTTTTTTAGGTAATTAGACTTCTATGCCATCTTCTCCAGAGAGCCAATTATTATCTTGATTTATAAAGTTCTTTAGACCATCTGTTCTCCACTCTGATATGCCATCTCTGGTATGTCTGATATATGATCTCTGGTATATCTGAGGGCAGCCTGCCCTCAGAGATTGGCAACTCTTTCAAATTGCTTAACATTGGCTATTTCAGCCCTTCTCTAGCTATCTAAGAAAAATACACCATGGCTTCTTTTCTTAGAAGAGGGAACCATAAAGTCCTATAGATTTTAATTTTGACCTTCGTATCATTTGCCCCTTCCTTCACAACAATGTGAATGATACTGCAGATAGAACATGAGTTTCCCACCTTCAACTCGCTATTTGATTTAGACATTGACTTTAAAAGCTGATTTTTTTGAGGAAAGTCACTTAAAATTGACCCCACCATCCTGTCTGTAGCTTCCTTGATTTGGCCAGAGATGGTGGCAGCAGGCAGGGGCTCTTTAGTGCTTGGGGGCTGTCCTGAACTAAAATGCTGCAGGGTGGATGGCGATTCTTAATTCATGTTGTAGCTTGTGTGTTGTTTGACTGGTATATCCAAACACTGGGGGAGTGGGCAATGAGGAAAAGGAAAAGCAGCTGCCAAGCCATGTTGTGCTGTGCTGTACATCCGTGCTGTTTGCAGAGCTGAGCACTTGAAATAGCTTTGCCAGTCAAAGCTCCACCTCATGTGCAAGTCTCGTAAATACAGCCATAATGCTGCTGCCCTGAGCTTCAGCTGTTTTTCTTTGTCTATTCCTGAGGTGCCCTGACAGCTAAGCTTCCCTGGGTGTGTTACCAAACATACCTGCCCTCACCTACTCCTTTTAGTGGAACTTTTGACTATAAGATTAAGGCAATGCTTCCCACTGCCTCTGCCTGCTTACCTGCACTCCGGGTTACTAGTGAAACACAGGGCTTTTGACACTGGATAACAAGCAGTGATGCAAGTCATTCACTTGGGAGATTGATATCTTGAGGCTTCTGAGCACTGACTGTTTTTGTCATTCAAATGCTCTCAAGATGGGATGAGCTCTCTGAGAAGGAACTGTTCCAAGAGCATTTATAGCACATCCTGAAATGTCATTGTGATATCTAATGTTGTGCACTTTTATTTTTCTTCCCTGTCTTTCTATCTGCATGTCACTCTTCCTCTCCCTCTCTCCTCACCCACTGCATGGTGCACCTATTTGTTGTCCTTTCACCTCCCTTTGAACTTCTCTGTGTCTCCCTTCCTTCTGCCCCACACCGTCACCCCACTGGCACTGCATGTCCTGCTGCCTGGCACACCGCATAACCAGGACCACTCCGGCACACTTGGCCCTGAGGAATTCAAAGCCTGTCTCATCAGCTTGGGTTACGATATTGGAAACGATGCACAGGTACTGAATGCTAGTGGTGAACACAGGCAGATATTAAACTGTGAAAAAATAACAGTTTTTTCCTTTCTTTTCTTGTTTGTCTTAATCCCTCATTGTTGTTCTTGTGTTGGACTATATATACATCACTTTTCTATACTGCTTCCTCTCTAAATGTACTTTGTTATCTATTCCATTTTAATTCCCTAATTTTTTGTCTTGGGAGAATTCCTTTTATGTCTTGAAACCATTCCATTTACTTCTTTATGACTTTAAACTTTTCTTGTCTATCCCTCAATCTGTCTTCCTTGGTATCTTCATTCCTTTTCTTCATCATCAATATGTTTCTTGTGTGTAAACAATTCCATATCCAAACCCTCCTTTGCTTCTTCATGGTTTCATAAACTACCTTTCCTCTATCGTCTTTCCTTGTCCTGTAAATCCTTTCTTCCATCTTCTCCCTGCTGAATCTCATTCTTTGTAATGTCTCCTATGGGTTCACTTCTCCCTGGACTGGTCTCCCTTTTCTCTCTTGGCTTTTTCCATCTTTGTATCATTCCCTGTAGAAGAAGACTGGTATGATGGATTGTGAAGATTTCCGAGCCTGCCTTATCTCCATGGGTTACAATATGGTAACGTAGAGCCCTCTGTCACACCTATTCAATGTGATTCTTTTAGGCACCTTCAAAAATAAAGGGAGAATGTATAGTGAATCAAGGTAAATATAGCCTTATTTTCCAATATTATCGGCAATGGATTTTAGATCTAATCGTAGTTTTACATGTAAAATTCCTGTCTCACAGTGGTAGGTAAAGGTAAAAAAAAGGAAATTAGTGTCTAATTCCTGTGTTGTTCAAATAAAAATTGTATTTATCAAACTATGTAGCTACCAGTGGAAGGAACAATAAACTTCCTCATATTTGTACTTGCATTCTGCACAGCACACACAACCTCCCCCAGCCCTGAGTATCAGTTGAACTTATTGTGAAGTGTCTACAAGACCTCATTTCTGAATATACTCAAAACACTGCTCCTCTCATTCCTACTGTTTGTTCAAGTTCCAGTCATTCTCCCCATGACTTTTCCTCACCAGAGTACCTGAATATTCAGAGAAGTAACATGTGGCACCTCAAGAGGTATGACAACTAATAGAAAGAGCTTCACCAAAGACTGATGCTCACCCAAGGGCAGAAGAGTGCAAACACATTCAGCTGCACTCTTGGTGTCTTTGCTCCTGATACAAAGCAAAGCAGTGTTTAATCATCTTACTCGTCAGCCCAGGATAAAAACAGACTCTTCAGTGTAGCATGCCAAGACACGATAACATTTGATTAAGTGCCTTAAGTACTCTTGAAGGTATATACTATTCTAGAAGTGTTAGGAGAGCCTGTTCCCAGGAGAAAACTCTGCTCTGCCCTCCTTACTCGGGAAGGAGGAAGTCCCAGGGATGAGAATAGATGATCTTGGTTTATATGCAAAAAGGAATGCAAAAGCCTGCACTACAATGTTTTGGCTTCTGTAGCAAAACTTTGCTGAAGGATCTTCCCTGTAAAAACTACTTCCCTGGACCACTCCAGATATCCAAGTCCTTCTTTCCAAAGCTGCCTAGTAAATGCGAGTAAGATAACTATGAAATACACCAGAGACATTTATCTGGTGGTTTCTGTTCTGTCAGCTGAAGAAAACTGTAAAACTTCTCTTTAAGTAAATGAAAGTAAAGGGATTTGAGGAGTGCAGATCTTCCAATACTGCTACAGACATCTAGCACAACACGTAGAGGGAAATTTGGGTCTTCCTCTGAAGTCTGTATGATATTGTTCCATGATTGGAACATCGTCCTAGAGCTAGATGGAGCAGGATGTTATCCTAGGGTGCAGCTGACAATATTTTGTTCCAAAGGACGAATGAGTGGGAAGCATTTGTACACAACAGCAAGCTAAAAAAGAACATCCTGATTAAAAAAAAAAATAGCATAGGTGGTTTCTATTTGGCTTTGTTTTTCTAGCTGTGAGATGTGCTGCTGAATGGGTTCTCCTCACTTTCGTAGCACTTCTGCCCAAATGTCCAGGCTTACATAACTCTCTTGTTCCCCAGGGAGAGGCAGAGTTTGCCCGCATCATGAGCATTGTGGACCCTAACCGTTTGGGTGTAGTGACGTTCCAGGCCTTCATCGACTTCATGTCCCGGGAAACAGCAGATACCGATACTGCTGACCAAGTTATGGCTTCCTTCAAGATCCTGGCTGGAGATAAGGTCAGGCTCCACACCTTCATTTCCTGTATCTGCATGGCTCCTGCTTTCCTTTTTTTCTCTTGTCTCCGAGAGAAAGTGTTGAGGGAAGCACTCTCCAGTGTGGACGGTGTTTTCACAGGAACATTCTGTAGTGCTGGAGGAGTGCAAGGTTAAAGCTTGGGTTAATGAGCAGCCTGCCAAGGCACTCAAAAGTCCTGTTCGGCTCTCAGTTAGAACTTTGCTGCCCACTCTTGCTTTAAAATTTAATTAAGAGCTTGGTCGCGATTTGTTATTTTAAAATGAACAAGTTCAACAGATGGTTCTTGATTAGTCTTGAAAACTATTAATTACTGACAGCTGTAAACTTGAGATGACCTTTCTCAGATATACACGTGTCACAATCAGTTGTTATACAACCAACAGATTTTCATTGAGGATGTGCTGTATCTGCAAGAGAAGCATCTTTTAATCATAAAAATTGGTCAAAAGTAGGAAAATTCAGGGAATGATAAAAAAGTAATAATTTTCTGAATTTACATTATCAGTAGAAGCAGCTGATAAAAAAATACGTACTCTTATTTTTCTTACATGCCCACTAATCTTTCATGTAATTGAACAAATAATATGTACATGTAATATTAAGATATCTCTATATTTGCTAATTATTTTAATTATCTCACATGAAAAGTTGGATACCACTTCTCAGATTGTAATGAGTTGCCCGTAAATCCAGTACTAGTTTCCATGTTTCACTAGGAATCTTTTTGTAATCATGATGTAGAAACCTCTGATAGCTGTCCTTTAGACATCTACCTGGCTGAAGCCAGTTCTATTGTCTTTTGAGGCCTGAAAATTCAATGTTATTCAGATAAACTAATCACTGAATAAATAGGTACTTTGGGATGCAGTATTACTTATTAACTCATTTACTCTGTACAGTACGTTAACTATACTTGTCAGTGTTTAATATGCTCTGGTGACTATAACATGAATCAGTATTTCATTATGAAGAAAAATACCTCTTACCTCGTCATTAAATAGAAAAGCAGGGAAAAAAAAATAAGAAGTCACTGGAGGGAGAAGGATGGTGTGAAACCTGAACCACTGTTCAGACAGACTGCAAATGCCCATGAGTCAGTTAGCTAAAGACAACATACTGATTAGCAAACAGGCAACTACTGTTGCCTCCTGCATGGAGAGAAGCCAAGCTAGCTTAGCTCAGTGCAGTGAGTCTCCAAAAGTCGAATTTCCATTAAGTTTTGCTTGCTTATTAAAAATGTCCACAGTGAAAGGCAAGGATTGTTGCTGGAACTATGGAAGCAATAAAAAGTGTTTGCTTGTCTGCTGCCTGCATTGGTGCCACCAGCAAGAGAGCTAGTGGGGATGGCCCCTTTCCTGGTTCTGAAGAGAGGAAATGGCAACTCCCAAGCAGCACAAACAGCTGTTACCTCCTGCTGGTGAGGGACAGCATCCAAATTATATTACTGCTTCTTCACATTTGCTTCCAGCAGGACCTCCTCTGTCAGAGGGAAGTTAGTCTTAAACTAACAAGTTTCCTTACTTACCTCCAGGTGTTTTCCTTAGATGCTCTGGCATCTCTCCTGCAAAAACAAATTTTCTCTTTACTGTAAAAACCACCTCCTTGTCCACATGGTAGGGAGCGAGTGCATGTCCTCCCAAGGCATAGGTGCAGAGAACTCCCTGTGTGGGTGTATGTCCCCAGTGTAGTTGTTGGGGTCCTGTCCCTGAGTGTTGTCTGCTGCCCTGGTGGGAGAGGGGGTGGCTGGCCCTCCGAGGAAAGTCAGTTTTCTGAAAGTAACGATTGCCTTATCATTTGTTCTCTTTGCAGAACTACATCACTGTGGATGAATTACGGCGGGAACTGCCTCCTGATCAAGCTGAATATTGCATTGCTAGAATGGCACCCTACAATGGCCGCGATGCTGTACCCGGTGCCCTGGACTACATGTCCTTCTCCACAGCGCTCTATGGCGAAAGTGACCTTTAACTTTTTTTCTCTCCCACCACACGCTCCCTCCCCTCTCCCCCGTCCAACGTGCCCTACTTTCTCTTTGCAAAGCAACCTCTGCTCCGCTCTTTTTTGTGTTACCCTGTTTTGCTTCAGATAATCAATCACATTTTTAAGTAGGGGGGGAGGACATTGACAAAGCACCGCCTACCTTGCCCTTGAAATAACAGTTTACAAAATTATTTTGTGCAAAAAGGTTACGTTTTAAAAAGAACAGACATATTTTATTATAGAAAAGGTATTTTTCTCCACCAGATTGAAACTTAAAAAGAAAATGTTAAAATATTGCACCAAATATTTTTTGTTGTGACATAGAAAGTCAAGCACAATGTTACATTCCATCCTTTCCAAAATGAACCAAACTATGACAAAACTCCACCTGTTCTGTTAACTATTACATTTGCATATGTCTCTCTTGTCACGTTTATCTTGGGAGGGGGGAAGGCACACAAGTGCATGTATTTGCTGGTTCACTCATTTCATGAAGATATTTTATGATAAACTTTTGAAATTGCTGTGTTTTCTAGGGAAAAAATAATGTACACAGCTCATGTTTTCATATTTAATTAAAAAATACAATACGCCTCCTATGTTATCAGTGCACAACTTTTTTTGTTCCTGAGAGTTGTCTGGTTTCAGAACATGAAGCTTGAGAGTTGATAACTTTGATATTGCTTGTCACAAACCATATTAAAAGATTCTTGTGATAACAACTTTAGACTTTATTCATTTGTATAGTAAAATTGTTTAATCCTATTTAGTTTACAATAACATGATGAAGAGAATCCAAAATTAATGTTTTTAATTGAAATTACACTACTTTTAAAAGTACACTTCACTGCTCCATAACCTTTTCATTCTTACTGAGTGGTGTTGGAATTTTCACAGCTTTCTGACCACTTTAAATCCCTGGTACACCCATATCTCTAGGAACAATGTTCTTGTTATTCTTTAAAAACCAACACAGAATTAGTTACTAGATCTGTACAAACAACAACCATGGCTCGAACCTTCTATGAAAAGTTAATACACTGTTCCATGCTCAGCCCTGAATGTCTCGCTGGTTTTGATACCACATCTTTTGACATCATAAATTCCTCTAGAGATCATCTTTCTGTTCAACGTAGAAAAGAAACCAGCCTTAAGAACAACTCCTTTGGGACTTGTAGTGAGTCATGTGCCTGAAAATCAGCAAAGGAAGCAGCTAATCCTTCCAGCCATCTCATATTACAGGTGCATTTCCTGCTCTCCCACAACGTTTTTAGGAAACACAGAGCCAGGAGCAAAAACTACATTACTGCTTCACGACGTGTTTCAAGTGTTTTATAGGCATAACTAGCTAAGTCCTGAGGAAGGCATTGTACATGTTGGGTTGGGGCTCAGCACAGCTTTGTGGTTAATTCCTGACCTTCAGGAGGACACAGTAAAAATCACAGCAACGTGTTGTGATGTATCCCAACCTGACAGTATCTGCCTACTGTATCTGGGAGAGGGGATGCTAATATCTGCTACCACACTACTTACAGGAGACACCAAGATCTGTGTTCTCCTGTAGGCTGGATAACAAGTTTGCGGGGAGCATGGTAATAAATGCCATTTAGCTTCATACTTAAAAAGGTCAGACTGCACTCACCACAGTTTGTCTTCAAAGGTGTAAGAAGAGACAGTTCATGTAACTTACTTATAATTGCGTTGTTAATGAGGGCTAGAGATGAGCTGAAGCTGAGTTTTCTGTGTGTGAAACCCTTGATACTGAGAAGTCTGCAGGGGTTGATATGAGTTGTCAGAAACGTAGGACTTGCAGCCACATCAGCATTTAATTCACTCTAGGCTTATTTTTAGCTATATCACTGCTACAAATTGGACTGTCCTCTTCAAAGATATGGGATGTTTGGGAGTGGGATTCCATTGCTATGTGTTAATATACATAGCATAAGTTACCTCTTTGAAACCTAAAACAGCAGAGAAGATGACTGCAGGCCTGAGCAGATAATCTGTATTGAAGTTTGCCTCAGAATATCCATTGCCCTTGCTTTGATAAACCTCTTTCCTCTTCCACAGTAGCTGTCTTGTCCTTAGTTTGTGGCACCTGAAAAAGGACATTTGCACTGTCAAAAAAATTGAGGCTCTCTGTGTTGTACCCACTTCCAGAAGATGCAATGATACATATTTTTAATACTTTTTTAAAATTTACTTAAACAATAAAATGGGGGGGAGGGAGGGAGGGGAAGGGGCAGAATATCTGTTGGGATATGAAATGACCACTGTCTGGAGAAAAGATCCATATCATTTTGAAAAAGGGCTGCAAAAAGCATAGCTGCGCTGTGAGCCATCACCTCAGGCCCAGTCTGCTACCACTCTGAGAATGGAGCCAATTTATTTTGAATGATCCTGGTGACCACTCTGCAAGTCCATGCTTGGGTATTCCAGAAGTCTTTATAAAAAGAGCAGTGGCAGCGTTGCACCGTGTGATCCGGTTTGACACAAAACCCCAGATGGGGGTAAGTATTCCTAGTTTTATGAGACAGAAAGAAGGTGGCTCATCACTGCTCACACCACAGATTGGTGGCAGTGTACTGTGAGGGTTCCAGCCTTGCTAACGTCACTCTTAGCACACCAGCACTGCATCCTTTGGTAAAGTTGAGGTGTCAACAGCATCAGAAAGGCCTTGCCTCTGCTTCTGAGTAGTTGAAGAGAGTTAAAAATATTGACAATAGGTGTGCCTAAAATATATTGGTATTTCTTCTCAGGTGGCACAGCCTCTGACAAACTGGCTGGAGTTTACATGACCTGGTCTTTCTCTCTTGGCTGCAGATAAAGCCTCCCCATTCCCACCCCACACAAGGAGGAGTGCTGTGATGCTGCAAGATGTTCACCTTCTTCATATGCAGCACAAGATTTATCTTGCAACCATGTGGCCTAACAGTCTCTGGCAGTTAGTACGCTGAAATTTGAAAACAGCTTTTGGTATTAGACTCGTGGTTTTGCAGCTAACATGCCATTCTTTAGCCAAGTCCTGACATCAGCCTTGATGAAATTAATCTCTGGAAGCAGCTGTTTGCAGCTCAGTGACTGCCCCTTCCTCTGCCAAGAACAGAAGCAGCGGACAATCCACTTTAGGCTCACACCTTCCAATAACAGGTAGACCATTACTGTCAGTCTGCCGTACTCTCTATTTTGAGGAATGGAAATTGAAATAATGCTTTTCCAAGAAATTAACCAAGAAATTCCTTTCATGACCTCTTTGGCTGCTGAGATCTCAGTATCTGCCTCATCCTGTCTGTTTGACACTACAGAGGCAAAAAACTCTTCAGTGCTCAAAAAACGTGGGTCTGTGTTGACTGCCAGAATGTCAACTCCATTTCCAAAAGCCTCTCATACCTATCTTGTGACTGTGCATGTCTTCAGTGCTGCCAGCATCTGGTTTGGAACAAACTGGAGGAGCAGAGCCAGGAGTCTCAGAAGACAATGAAAGGAAACTGGTCTGCAACCTTGAATGAACTTGGTTTCAAAGAAGTACTCATATATCCATGGAAATCCCATCCAGATTAATCAGACTTAGTGGTCTTATCAGGGAAATAATGGAGAGGGCAAGGAATAAAGAGTGGGTGTGTGTTTGTAATGGCTGCGAAAAGGGACAGCTCAAACTAAAATGACTTGTTAAAAAACCAGAATGCAGGTACAATTTTCATACCATAACAAGAAGATTATTTGTACAACATTATTTGCACTACAGATGCTGGGCAGGACAGACTTATTCCACCCCTGTGGTAGCCAAGTACAAAGAAATCTTAATCGTGTTGAATTGATTAAACTGTTGAGGTGACTCTGGCTACTGAAAAGGTTGCTACTGTATAAATCCTTAAAATCCATTGCATTATCTCTAAGCTACTGGGAAAGTCTTAGCATAGTAAACATAGATTAGCAAAGGCCAGGACATGTCCTGATGCAAACAGGTAATCAGAACATTCCCCTTCAGGCACTGAGAAAATGTGCTCAATGCTGCAGTCAGTAGAGAAGTCAGCTATTGTGATGGATAAAGTTGGATGATTGCACTTTGTACAGGGAAGGATGTTCTCTAAAGCTATTTCAAGTAGATTTAAATCTCAGTAATTTAAATCAATTGGAAATGCAAAGAGAAAAATAATATCTTTTCTATATTCTGAGGACTCAGAGGCATTATAGACTGCATCTCACAGATAAGATACTGAAATGGATTCCTCCTGTGTCTTTGAATACCATACAAGAGTCAGGAAATAGTTTCTCAGTTTTGTTCTCTGATTTCTGGGACATACATGCAAAAAAAAAGTTGGCAGAAACTGCAGTACCTCCTGTTACTGTCTTATCTCTTCTCAGCAAGTCTGTTTGCACCTTATTGCTATTAGTCAGTAGTTCACATCCTGGTGACCTATCAAGCATTCGAGCAAAATCCTGAGGAACTCTCCAGCTATTGTCATACCTCAGTGACCCTGATCGTACTGTCTGGAAATGCATGATCTCTCCCTACTGGTTTGGGAAACATCTAGTGCTATTCCCACTGTGCAGATAAAGAAGGCACATGGGGGGAAAGGGCTAGATGTCACTAGAAGGTAGAAATACGAAGCCTGTACTTAAAATTGCAATCCAAGCAGTCTCTATTCAGCTGCTGCCCGAGTCTGGAGGTACTGCTCCCTGTTGCACCCAAACCTTCTCTGTACATCTATGTCTCTGCTTTGGGGCAGGTTTGTAGTGGGCCATTGAAACTGCTGGACACCTGGTCCCCTGTGACAGTTCTCTTTAGGGCCCGAGCACTCCCCTCGCAAATACCCCACATCACAATATCCAGGGGGCCACAAATCTCACCCTGGGTACAAAGACCAGTACAAATCCGCAAGACTGGTAGATTCCTTTGCAAAGTCTCGAGGTGGGTTTACCACCCATTTGCTCCATAAAAGCCTAATTGCCTAAAATATCTTCACACGAGGAGAGGAACACAAGTTCAGTGTTTCATTCCTCTTTAGGATCCCTACCTCCCAACCTTACACCCTAACCAGGAGGAAACCTAATAGGCTGGGCCAAAGAGCATCTCTCCAGCTTCACTCTCTCTCTCTCTCTGAAATAAATAAGCACTCAAGCAATAGGAGAGAAAGCATGAACCCATATCCTCATGGTTTAAGCAACCCGTTTGCAGAAAGAATGCTGCTTTTCTGTCCCTGACAGAGGTATTTTTTAGGTATTTCCTATTAAGCAGTCAAAGGATAAAGACCCTTAGGGTGGGAAACAGGCCCTAGGATGCCTCTCCCAGCACCCCAACTACTAGGTCTCTCCTTATACTTGCTCTCCCTCAGTTTTCCGCTCCATAGTGGCAAAATTTGAATGAGAGGAGCCTCCCTCCTCTACCACCACAGGCTCACACCGTGGTTAGGACACTGGTGGGTGGGAGCATGAATCTTCAATCTAAGGAAGACAGAAAACCCAAGCTTCCAGAGTAATGGGTATTTTAAACAATAGGCCATTTTACAAAATGTAGCTGTTGGTCTGAACACGTCTCTTGGCAGCCAAAGGAAAGAACAAGTCCTAGTTAGTCCTTGTTAGAAACAGATGTTGGCACTCTGAGACAAGACTGTGCTGTGGATCCCCAGTGGAACAAGGCTCTGATTTCCCAGCTGCAGAGAGGTGCATCTATACTGAGCAAGGGCAGGGTGTTTAGACCTACACATCTCCCCAGTGCTTC